TGCGGTAACAGCATCTACAAATGACCATCTGCCATGAATATTCTTCACACATGCACGAGTTTTATTTTAGAACCGCTGATGCTTTGGGTTTATGATACTACTTGCTAATAGTATGCATTATGATAGCATAAGTAAAAAAAAAAAATTTACCAGTATAATCAAAATAGAACAAATTCACGACTAAAATATTATCAAGAGTCTTAGAAGACCCTTCGAAGAACATTTTTAGAAGGTAAACAAAGATAACTGACGAAAACTGATCAGCTCGAAAACCCACGCTTGAAAAATGTAAACAAACGCCGCCGAAAGCAGTTACAGTTACGACTAAGATCAAAGGTTTGCTCGCAGTTAAAAGTATTACTTCCGAGCATGAAAAAATTGTAACATAATGCTTTTAAATGTTTTCTACTATTTTAAAGGCATTTAAATGCCAGTATATATTTACTGTTATGAAACATAATTACAAAAGAGATGTTAAGTATAAAATATATAGACAGCAGTTGGAGTTTACCAAAAAGAATTTAAATAAAGGAATTTTAACAACGAGTATACTGTTGGAATATCACACCCGAAAATTTTCGCGATTACACTTCGTACAAGCAGCTGAGCGGTAAAATCGCTGAACACTGGTAGTTCGGTCCAACTTTCTAATCCCGGCGAGCGGGCTGGCTGCATGTGTGTTTTCGTGGTTTTCCGCATGCAGTATCTTCTGCATGCATACGTTAACAAAGCGGGCGCAGCAAATGTAAAATCGCTGTACACTGGTAGTTAGGTCCAACTTTCGAATACCACGAAGGCATCCATCCCCTGAAGTAATGGGCTTCAGCCCGCTCAGCTGGCGGGCTTGCCCGCTAGTCTATACTATTAAAATCTGTGCGCGCTGTCTGTTTGTGTGTTTGTAACATCATCTTCCTCGGAACGGCTGGGTGTAGAGCTTAGCGGAAGGTACCGTTGGATTCAGAATGTCCCGTGGCTCGCCGGATTTTGACCATCGGCATCTTCGTGCGACTTTAATTAGCCGAGATATTAATTAAAAACTGATTTTCTCCCTACTTTCCCTACGTTTTGCACTTTCTTTCACGGGTTTTCCCCTATTTTAGGGATTTGGCCGAGTGCCAAATTCGTTTTTCTCGAATATCTCCGGAACGGCGCCGAGTTGGGAATTCGAAACGCATATCCCGGATTCCAAAAAAATCAACGAATCCAACGGTACCGGTCCCATCTTCGTACGACAATAATCGGCGGAGTTATTAATTAAAAACTGCGAAAACGTTATTTCATTTTTCGGAGTGGCAACAGTCTCGGAATTAGCTGAGATAAAATTGCTTTTTCGAAAGCGCCGGGGGGGGGACAATTGCTTCCGCTCGAGATTTGTGCTGGCGAAAGGTCACGTGTCAATTTAACTTTTTTTCAAATATCTATGGAACGGCGCTGAGTTGGAATTCGAGGCAGGTGTCTGCCGGATTCCAAAAAATTCTACGAATCCAATGATACCATTCTCATCTTCGTAGGACGTTTAATCAGCTGAGATATTAATTAAAAAACTGTGAAAACGCTAATTTTCGGGCTCATTTTTCCGATTGCAACAGTTTCTTGAATCGCCGCAGATACAAATCAAGGTTATATTCTAAAGTTGAATAAAGCACGCGATTGCATGTTACCTAACTGTATTTTAAAATATTTCGTTAATGTAGGCATTTTAAATAAACAGCTTGCTTTTCAATTTTTTAGGTTTTTATAATTGCCACGATATGGATTATTGTCACGTTAATTCTTTTATTGATATTGAATAAAAGTTATTATATTACATTAAATTTAAATGATGACGTTCTTGAAGTTGTACAACTTTAATCAGCTGGGATATTAATTAAAAAATCTGAAAAAGCGCTATTTTTTAAAATATGTAATTTTTTTTTGGAATAATAAATTTAATTTTTTGAATAATATATTTTTTCATGGTTTTGGATACGTCTACTTAATTTACATATGCTTTTTGAATTTAAATGATATCGTAAATTAGTTCGCAACAATAATAATTATTATTTTTTTTACGATTCAAATTTCTTAATTAAATTTTAATTGAATATGAGCTTTTCCTTGCAGCAACGACGCAAAAGAATTATTTAAATTTAATTTAACTTAACTATATTCTTGTGAAACAACTTTGTTGAAACTTTGTCCGGATTCTGTAAATTTAAACATTTTTTTTTTTTTCGTTTTGGGTTTTAAATTGAACATGTGACCCTTGGAGACGGTATATGAGAACTTTTTTTATTATAAATAATTATGAATTGATAATCGCATTAAAATATATATATTGATACAATTTTGTGTGTGATTATGTTGAAGATTATAAAAAATAAAGGAATTTTAATAACGAATCTATTGTTTGAATAACAAACCCGAAAATTTTCGCGATTTCTCTTTCTACAACGGCCCATTAGCGGCACCGTAAAGTCACTGAACACTGGTAGTTCGGTCCGACTTTCGAATCCCGGCGAACGGGCTGGCTGCATGTGTGCTTTCGTGATTTTCCACATGTATATAGTATATTTAGTATCTTCTGGATGCATACATGAATAAAGAGGGCGCAGCCCGCTAAAAACCGCTGAACACTGGTAGTTCGGTGAAACTTTCGAATCCCGGCGAGCAGGCAGGTTACACGGGTGTTTTTGTGATTTTACACATCTCTATCGTGTATGCAGTGTCTTCTAGATACATAAATGAATAAAGCGGCCGCAGCCCGCGCAAGAAAGCAGAACACTGGTAGTTCGCTCCAACTTATGAATCCCGGCGAGCAGGCTGGTTGCATGGGTGTTTTCATGATTTTCCATATGTGTATCGTGGAAGCAGTGTCTTCTTAATACATATGTGCATAAAGCGAGCCCAGCCCTCGCAAAACCGATGAACACTGGTAGTTCGGTCCAACTTTTGAATCCCAGCGAGCAGGCAGGCTACGCATGTGTAATGTGTATGCAATGTCTTCTGTATGCATAAGTGAATAAAGCGGGCGTCATAGTCACTGAACACTGGTAGTTCGGTCCAATTTTCGAGTCCCGGCGAACGGGCTGCTGCATGGGTGCTTTCGTGATTTTCCGGATGTATATAGTATATTCAGTATCTTCTGGATGCATACATGAATAAAGAGAGCGCAGCCCGCTAAAAACCGCTGAACACCGGTAGTTCGGTCCAACTTTTGAATCCCGTCGAGCAGGCGGGTTACACGGGTGTTTTTGTGATTTTACACATCTCTATCGTGTATGTAGTGTCTCTAGATGCATAAATGAATAAAGCGCGCGCAGCCCGCGCAAGAAAGCTGGACACTGGTAGTTCGCTCCAACATACGAGTCCCGGCGAGCAGGCTGGCTTCATGAGTAGTCACCGCTGCACATTGTTAGTTCGTTCCAACTTTCGAATCCCGAAAATTTGCCTGCTGGCTGCATGGGTGTTTTCGTGATTTTACGCATGTGTATCGTGTATACAGTATATTCTGGATGCAAACTTTTATAAAGCGGGGGCAGCCCCCACAAAATCCGCTGGACACTGGTAGTTCGTTCCAACTTTCGAATACCGGCGAAATTACATTAGGAACTCTTATGCACACGAACAATGAATAGCGGCAAAGGCGCTGAACACTGGTGGTTCGTACCAAATTTAAAATCCCCGTGAGAGGGCTGGCTGCATGGGTGTTTTCGTGTATGTGTATCGTGTATGCAGTGACTTCTGGATGCGTATGTGAATAAAGCGGGGGCAGCCCGCGCAAAACCGATGAACACTGGTACTTCGGTCCAACTTTGGATCCCTGCGAACGGGCTGACTCCATGGGTGTTTTCTTGATTTTACGCATGTGTATCTTTTATGCACTATCTTCTGCATGTATACGTGAATAAAGCGGGCACAGCACGCGCAAAATCGATGAAAAATTGTATTTCGGTCCAACTTTCGAATACCCGCGAAAGGTGCTGGCAGCATGGGTGTTTTCGTCATTCTCCGCATGTGTATCGTGTATGCGGTAACTTCTGGATGCATAGGTGAAAAAAGCGGGGGAAGCCCGCGGAATGCCGCTAAAAAATGGTAGTTCGGTTCAACTATTCAATACCGGCCAAATTTGAACATGGGAATTCTTTTAAAAACGAACAATGATAAGCGGGCTTCAGCCCGCTCAGCTGGCGGGCTTGCCCGCTAGTAACTTAGTAACAACTGAGATGAATTGGATACTATCGATACGTTTCGATTATGGGCATTTAAAAGTATATAGAATCATTTGATTATTGTGAAGAAGAAGACAGGAAATATGTGTCTTGCGCTCGTCAGAAACCCTGGACCTCTCGAGCATGTGTCAAGTATACTTCCAATTACACCACGGACGCATGCGGAGAGGGAGAAAATGCCTTATATACCTTCCCTTTTAAAGGAAAACTGGTGATAAGAGGACCCCAGTCGACCAATCCTCGTGGAATTATCATCTACCCCATTTTAGTTCGGGAGCCATTTTTAGAGTCATTTAGATTTTTTTTTTTCGGTATCAGAACATTGTAGAATCCGCATTGCCTTCGCCGCAACTTGATCCCTAGACCTCTCGAATACGCTTCGAGTTTGCTTCCAATTATACAGGAAAGGCAGGCGGAAAAGAGGGAGAAAATACCTTTTACGTAAATTAAAACAAACGGCGTTAGTTATTTTAACACCTAATCTGTTATTCTTTAAAGCTTTTTGTATCTCTCATATTTCAGAATCAGCTTAACATGAGGGATTTTTTAACTGGCAATGCACTTCATATCTATTACCGTAATTTGTATGTTATGCACATTTCCACTTGACTTTTTCCTATCTGCCCTACATTCCTGCACATTTCCACTTGACTTTTTCCTATCTGCCCTACCCGTGTAAGGTAATAAATCTTTAAAGATGAAATTTTACTTATACTCGTTACTCATCAACAACATATGATATCCGATGCTATTTTTCTTTTATTAACCGCTGTATCGTTTTTCCATTAGGGAGTTTACGAGTCGTTCACCTGCGTATGGTGGACCGGTTCATCCGTCGTCGAGAGAGATAGACGGTAGCTTGTCAGACACAGTAGTGGGTTTTTCCACAGACCCAGAAGCTGTGATTCTTAACTCCACTCTAGAAAATAGTGACGCCGAAAGAAGCTCTCGTATTTCCAAAAAGAGCAGCAGCACGTCACAACTCAGTGTAACAGGTGAGTGGCTTTTCCTTCGAATCTCGTTTTTTGTTACCATTTCCTTAGTTTGCTTTGCTTTATATTTTTAAAGGAAGTTCAAACAATTGTGGTGTAGTGGCCGAAACCGCTACGCAAACCCTGGGTTGTGACGGTGGTGTGGCTGCAGCGGACGTGGTCAGAGCGGACACAAACGATTTCGTGGTCAGAGCGGACACTACGAAACTCATCGTGGTTAGAGCGGACACATTTTTTTCCCAAGAACAGATAAAGGGTGCAGATAAATATGTAAATAAATATTTTTAAAAATCTTAAATATAATTTAAACAGTATTTTAAGTGGCAAATCTCTTTCAAGTGGGATAACTTTTTTTTTTTACCGAAGTTTTCTGTTTTCTCATTCGATTATCGAATTACAAGGCACTGGAATTACTCTTGGCACTGTAGTATGTCGGTATTTTAGTGGAACGAAATCATAACTTCTTCTGATATAACTTCTGAAAATTCTTCTTGAAATATCTTGGAGAACGGGAACTGACGTTTCTTCTCGGACTCTTTTTCTGCAAGTCTCTAACTTCCTTTTAACTTCCATCTCAGCAATGTTGGGCACGCAGGAATGTTCCAGTTTTCTTCAGTACTTCGTATCTGAAAATTTGTCTTTACATTTCCTTTACAACAAGGATGTCAAACTCGCGGCCCACAACAAATATTTTTGCGGCCCGGCCAATATATCGGCAAATAATAATATATAATAATAAAATAACATATCGACGAAGAAAAAAATGAAATGTTTACTGCTAAGTAATTAACGATAATTTATTCAGTGTTGTTAGATTACTCACAGCGAGCTGACACACACACTACTTAAATTACAAATGCGTGTGAGTAGCTTGCGTTCAGCTACCTTCGGCTTTTGGGGGACACGTGCACTCAGAACTTGTACGCATCCCCGATAGCCGAATGTGGCCGAACTCATGGTCTCAGTTTTCCAATCATAGTTTGTGTACGATATATTGGTGCATGCATGTGCATGCACTTTGCTTTATTATTAATTATTACTTAATTCATATTGTTACGGATTTCATAGTTAAAATCCAGATATTTATAGATGTTTCCAGTATATTCGAGAAATTAATTATAAAGGCTTATAAAAGCCGAGAACAAACAACTCATCTCAGTAGTAGCTGTAGTTCTAGCGAACTGTTTCTTTACTTAATGCTGTGATTGATTTGTAGCGATTTTCGCTGTGAGATAGAATTAGTTCTCTGTTTTGAATTGATTTTTGCTAAACGTTTGACATTTTGTGATGTTTGTTAGAATATTTTGAAGAAATATTTCAGCATTTTGATCTATCTCTTGTGGAAAGAATAAATTTTTGTTAGCTTTTTAACGTTAACCGTGTTTATTCCAGCACTTTGTATTCAGTATGTCTATATCAAAACCAAGTGGTAGTAAAATTAAACGAAAAATCGCTGACGAACATAGAATATTCCAAGTAAAATGGGAATTAGAATATTTTTTCTGTGAAATAAAAGATAAAATAATCTGCTTGATATGTAATAATACTATTAATGTACTATTAATAATACTATTAATTCTTCGATTTTCTCCATAAATATTCAGTACCCAGCCATATGCAAATGGAGGTGATCGAGATTCAGTGCAACTCAAATTTGAAAGCAAAATTCATTGAAGTGGGCGTGCCTGAATTTTACAAATATTTACCAGCCAGGTTTGAAAATACTCGAAAATTTGCATATGAAATTATTTCCATGTTTGGTAGCACTTATCGGTGTGAGCAGTTATTTTCAGTCATGAAAGGTAATGAGTCTCCTATTAGAAACCGTATTAATGATGCTCACCTTGGGTCAGCGTTGAAAGTTATCACTGCAAACCAAAATTTCTCCCGAATAGGAAAGATAATAGCAAGAGAAGAGATGTCAAGTATCAGGACGTAAACATTAAATTTTCTTGTTCTTTTCTATATAAATATATATATATAAGTTTATTATTTGTATTATTCGAATAAATCTACGTTCCTATGAATATTGATTTGGGGGGGGCCCGCCTAAAGTTAAACCTTGTTTGTTTGGCCCAAGTGTACCTATGAGTTTGACATCCCTGCTTTACAACGATCTGTCTTACATACCCAGCTCATTCCTAATTTATATTTTCGGTGTAAACGGCATGGCTAATCATCTACAACTAAATATCCTTTTCCTTTTTTTGTAGAGAGTAATTTTGTTGAAATCGCTATGGGTTCCATCACAGGCTTTTTCAAGGCTATAAAACGACATACACACTTCATAAGGATAAAACATCCACTGAAAAACCTTTATTCTTAAAATATCGGCTTATCTCTACAGCAGGTGCAAAGCTCGAAAGTACATAATAGGTGACATGTGACTAGTTAGGTAAACAATACAATAGGTGCAAAAATGTCCGCTCTAACCCACCCAGTTACCCTCATGTGTCCGCTGTAGCCACTGTCCGCTCCAACCACGTCCGCTCTGACCACGTAACCGTTGTGACACAGGGTTGAAATGTAATTCTAACTCAAGTTTTAACAATAATATGAATTTTAATAAGATCAAAACCTTAACAGTTGGATATCTTGATAATATGGGACTTGGATATATTTAGTTCCGTAATTTCAGAATTTCGTTACAGGAAAAATGCTCTAATGCATTATACACGAGAAATGATCGTTTTTAGCAGGCCAACATGCCTCTAGCTCTGAACAGGAAAGTTCTTTTTCTCTACTCAGGAAACCACTTTATATATCTCCCTGTGTTTACTTGCGCTGAACTTTACAGGGGGAATGATTCTTTCACTCATACATAACAAAGTGTTCATCTCCTGACCCTGATGAAAAGACTTATTTCATTTCTTTGTCCACTGGAGTGACCTTCGAGGCTGCAACCGGAATCATTAACAAAGGCACAGGATTTCACCAGTGATACGAAAATTATTGCACTCTGAAATCCCTCATCCTAGACAAAGAACCTTTATGCCACCTTATCACACAATATTAGGTAGAAAGAAAACATCCCAAAATATCCCCCCCCGAAATTCTGTTTTTCACTAGGATAGAAATGGACATAAAATTCTCCTATTCCATATTCATATATATGGCTGACATAATATCAATTCTGAAATGTATTTTAGTAGAACCTCACAACGACAGGATTTGTAAAACTGATGATTACTGGTAGCTGCACTAAATTCCGAATCCCACTAAAAGGACTGGCTTTTTCCATGCGCAGTGTAAATATGAGACAGTGTCTTTCACGAAGGTATCCCCGCCTAAGGCAGATATTCCTCTGGTGCCTTTTTCAGTTAAAAAAAAAAACTTTTCGCTCAAAGTTCTCGTTTTACAGATAAATGTAATAACCTTCAGCTAAGAATTGGTGGGTTTTTAAAATACACTGCTGGTCATTAAAATTGCACCATGAAGGAAAGCAAATACAAAACGATATTTATTGCACGTAAACAGATTGGCATTAAGACAAAATTATTTAATTTGTAAGTATTTTCGAGGTTTATGGGGGTGCGAAATTAGTAGAAACAGCTACCCTTACCTCATTAGACATATAATCAATCTGGGCTTGGATGACAGAAACAGAAAACTCATGCCACGCTGCTTCAAATCTATGCCACACTTCATGAACCGTATTAGCTGGACAGGGTTGGCGGGCAGTCCCTCAGCAACCCATGATTAGGTGTTTTCAATTGGTCACAGATCTGAAGAGCGTGCAGGCCAGGGCAGCAATCGAATACCCTGTGTATCGACGAAGGTCAGAACACGACGTGCAACATGTGGTCCTGCATTATCTTGTGTTGGAGCACGACGTTTGAAGGCCTCGAAGATAGGGCACAACTGCTGGACGCAAGATGTCAGTAATTTACCCATCTGCATTCAAATTACCGTCGATCCGAACTAGAGATGTGCGTGTCGTGTACCCAATGGCTGCCCAAACCGTCACACCGGGTGCAAAATGGGAGCCGCTATGCCGATATCGAATGCAAGCTGGCGACATGCGGTCTCCTCGGACACTCCAGACACGTATACGGCCATCATAACAATGCACGTGGAATCGGAAAGGCGGTATTGTGCCAGTCCTGTACCCAGCTCTGTCGCTTGGCGCACTAGAGTCGCCGTCTTTCTCCATGCTGCATTGTCAAGCGAAACCGAAATAATGGTCACCCTGCTGATAATCCACGCTGCTGCAAACGTTGAAGCCTCTTACGAGCTGATACTGTGCGTGCTGCAAACATGACCATGACTAATGGTCTTTGAAGTGGTCGTGAAGGGCTGACCTCATAATATGTCTGTCCTCTCTGACGTTATTCATGGGACGGCGTTGAGATTCTGTATGCCGTTCAGCATGACCCTCAGTAATCCATTCATTCCATATTCGCAAGGCAGTGATTGGATGTCGACCAGTGCGACCGACAGTATCACAGAACGATAATCTACACTCTCGATTAGGCATCGATCCTGCCTCTGTCGAATTTCGAATCTTTCTGGTAAACATTTCTTCTTCTTATACGAGGCATAACATGATATTCTGAGCAAACACTCCAACCTTACAATGCACTTTCCCAATGAGAAATCTACTACACAACGTTTCTTTTTTTGTAGTGCTTCACATACCGTTTCTCCCGCCTGCGTCGTCTAAATGCGCTGAAATACAAATCATTTGCATATCCTAACTTCTTCTTCCCTTTTATTTGATTTTGATGTTCGTCAGATCATTCCTTCCTAGTGTTACAATTTTAATGAACAGCAGTGTTCATGGAAGGGAAAAAACTAATACTTCATCATAAAATTTCCTTTCGTGATTCATTTCTTAAAGTTCTTAATCCTTGAACTATGATTTCTATAAGAGCTGTGTTTTCCCTGCCATTGCATTCATGAAACTGAATGTTACTACAAAAATACCACGTGAGACTTGTGGCTGATTTGACAGTGCATCATAGTTTCTTTTATTTTTATAAACTTTTCTGCCTTAGAGAATC